GCAAGAAACTTTAAAGTTCGAAACTTTAGTTCTGCTGTTAGCTTCTAATTAGCAGACAAACAGAGCCTATTACGAGATACAGGGATCGCGTCTATCGGTGTGGCCTGCGAAGAAGATATTGTAAAATAGACGGCTATTTCTTCGCTCGTCTCCCACAACTTTTATCTTTCTTAGATAGCGAATCCCGTTACACAGTGTATTTTTGAAGATAAATACGCTGAAGATTGCTAATTGGAGCGTATTGTCGGTGACGCATCTTTGTCATGAGATGGAAAACAGATTGAAAGTGTGTTCTAGATAGATAAAAATAGTTTTAAATTAATGATAGATATTATGATATATTTAAGCAAGAATCTTATAATTTTCTCAGGAGATTTTTAGTTTTTAATTGAAGTACACGAAGAAAATATTGTGTATTTTAATCTTTAGTGAACACATAAGTATATATCACTAAAGATTACAACATATGTAATAATTCCGATATATTCCAATATTGCAAATTTTTGTAGTAATTTTTACTATAATATCTTCTCCGTGTAATACTTTTATTAATATAAATTCAATGAAATCAATACTAAAAATCTTCTAAGAAGGTCATGATATTTTTGCTTATGTATGAGAATATCTATCATTGATTTAAGACTAATTTTTTCTCCGTGCACATAAAAAGAAATAAAAAATAGTGCGCTTTTTATAATATACGAGAGGAGGGCAATCCAGCATTTCTTTACATAGGTTTTTCCATATTGTTACTCCTTCTTCTTATTCTTTTGCATTATCTTGTTTTCGTCCTGCGTTATTCCAATCGCACGTTCCAAGCATCTGTTCGGCTATGTAATACAACTCCCTCGAGCGTAGGAACATCGGTAACGGCCGTTCGGACGACCCCTTGCGCGATCGACTCCGCGTTCCTTTTTCGTCGTCGGCGGTTCTCTTGCAGATTACCTGTCACTCCGCGCCCGAATTAACCGCTGCTGGTCGACGCTATGAAAACGTCGGCGTCGCCGGTTTGCGCCACGCGTATACTAACGTTTACTCACGAAACGACAAACGCACTCGCGCCGGAGGTTTTGCATGGACGACGGCAGCCTGTATCGGTTCCGAACGGCGGGGGTGGTTGGGTTGGCCGGGGTGGCGAGTCGGGTCACCGTTGGTGCGAGGGTTTCAATATGCTTCGGCAGTAGTTACAGTACCCTCTCCGGACCACCGCAGATCGGTCTAGGCGGTAAAGAGGGCGAGGGGGGAAGGGGGGGCGAGAGAAGGCGCGGGTGGAGGAAGGAGGACTATCGTGCTGCGGTATCGGTCGCCTTGGTTATTTAGGAAACCATATCAAAGTTTGAGTTGGCTGCCTGCCGCTGCTGCGCACCCTCCTATCGGAGCCCCCGCCTCTGGACAATGAGGTCTCTTCCGGTCTCGTCGAGGTCGCCCTTGACGTTCGTTACAACGCCGAATAACGGTATCTGAAGCCACCGGAATGGCGGTGGAGCGCAGGAGAAAATATGTAGCGCGCCGTGGAAATTCGCCGCGTGCGCCGCGCGCGCGGATCGTCCTCTCTCGTGAGCATTGAATTCGCAGAATGGAAACAATTTGCCTGCCAAAAATCTCCGCTCGTAAATCGAGCTTCCTACGAACATTCGACGTTGTCGAGCGAAAATTCCAGACTCGACGTTTTCTTGATCACGCGCGAGCCCCGTAAAAGAAACGTCTGTGTCTTACGCAGCGCGGTAAGTCGAAGGGTGTGTCGGCGATGTTATCTTACTTCGGTGGCGACACCGCCGGTACGATGGAGCGTTTTACGGCGCGAGATGACTTGTAAGAATGGACTAATCCGCGGAATATGATGTTTCGGTAGAGCGGAACGGGCTGACGAGACGAGATAAATGGACGGAAGAAAAGCGCAGTCTGTATCGCGGCCACTAAGTTTGCGCATTCCTCGCGGCAACGCGCCGAGGACCAATGAAAGACGACGTGTTACCGCAGTGAATTGTAGAGCGAGAAGAGAAGGCGGTTCTTCTAGTTTCCTGCCAGGTCCGCGGGTTCTTCAGGAAGGGTCTAGAGATTTAATTAAGGCAGGGCGACGGGTAGAAAGACGAGTCGCTACGTCGTGTAAACTCGAGCTCACCCGTTGCCCTCCTGTCCTCCCCGTCCACCCCTGTCCGTGCTCTCTCCCCGTCTTCTGTCGTCGTCTTTGAAACGAGCCAAGTCGGTCTCTCCTTCTCTCCGCTATTCGAGAGGATCTCTCTCGAAAACTCGTGAGAACGCTGCACACGTCTGGAGCGTAGATCTTGTTCGGCCGAGCGTGTGCGTCAAAGTTCGTCAGGCTACTCGGATTTCCAGTCCCAGAAATTCCCTCGAAGAGGCCCATGTCTTATTGCGACTTTCGTGAACCTCGTCATGAGAGACAGAGAGCTCCCTGCAAACTTGGCGGAACGTTTGATTAGACGACAAAGAGATACGATATTCCGTCGTGCAGTCGAGAAATTTGTCGCAGACATAAGATCATCGACGAAGTATATGTTCAATTTTGCTGATGGTGGAACGTCTCGTCGTGAGGAGGGAAATCATCGTTGCGTGAGCTGCTCGCACGACGCGTTCGGTCGAGCGGAGTAATTATCGGCGCGACCGCACGAGGAAGAAGTTTCTCCTCGGCAGCTTTTACCCCGCGCTTTCGCGCTCGGCCGCTCTCTCTCTCTCTCTTTCTTCATTCGAACTCCACCTCGAAACAGCGCGCAGGCATCATCTGCCTCGCGGTTTCAGCGTCAATAATTTGCAAAGGCTGCGGGGCAGGTTCTAACCGACTGATTTCACGCATCTGGCGTTTGGTGGTTTAGTCTGGCCCGGTCCGTGCCGGAGAAAGAGACAAAGCGAGAGAGATAGAGAGAAAGAGAGAGGTTCGGGCGAAAGACGTCAGGCAGGACGAGGGAGAGAAGGTGAGAGACAGTCGGCGAGAGTGGGACGAGAGAAAGCTGGAGTTAGAGGACGAAGGGGTGGGCGGATGAAAGCAGAGGGCGAGTGCGGGCAGTCCCTGCCGCGCCGTGGTGGTCCCGTGATCAATATTCCTTACCCCCTTTGCCTTGGCTTACCCCTCCGGCACGATACGGGTGCCCCTTACCTCGGGAAAA